CACACACACACACACACACACACGTCCCCAGGGGAAATAAGTTCTGTTCATAATAATTTCTGGGACAACAAATCTCACAACAAAAAAAAAAGGCTTACCTTAATATTTTCGATAATGAACCAAGTTAGAGGTTTCCTTGCACAGTTTACACTTTTAGTTATCTCAGAAGTTCTTTCATGTCCAAGCAAAATTGGTATTGTACAATGAAATACCCTTAACTGAATCGAATTAAATCGAATTGAGACCTGTATCGGGGTCCAATCGATTCGGAAATCAGTGGCGATACCCAGCCCTCTCTTATTGAAATAATAATAATTATGGATAAACTTGCTTGGTCATTTATCTCCCAATGACATTTTGACTGTAAAGTCAAAAGATATAGAAACGCCATTGAAGTTATGTGTAATGCCATTTAATTGACCTTTCCCCAACTAATGGACACTGCAAATATCTTGTGACCCCCTGGGCGAAGAAATCTCTGCCTGGGAGGCCGGACTGAGAAACAACTTCATCAATGGCCTCCATCGTGAAATAGCACAGGCTGTTAGACACAGCTGCATTTCCTGGTCCGAAGCAAAACTGAATGAAGTTCCACGACATGCCCTGCATGCTGAAGAAAACATCAAAGCTCAACAAAGACGCAAGAAAGATAAAATTGAAAAAGACCTCCACATGGCTTACCATGTATCTGACACTTCAAGATGCACACACATTTGCTTACACCATGTACAATCACCAAACACGCAGCAGAGGGCGCCAGTACAGGTAGAAGCGGTCCCCACACTGATCCAGACACATAATACAAATTTGGTAAAAAAGGACATTGGGTGAGGGAGTGTCTGGAGAATCAGGCCTGAGATGAGGATAGTGGGCGGGAGAGAGTCGTGACTACTCTGACTCACTCGATGCCTAAGAGGCACAGTATCTCTCACACACACACACACACACACACACACACACACACACACACACACACACAATAATGACAGAAAGACTGTCACCGACACACATACATTGATCACATGCTTAAATATTTAAAATTACCTTACTAGTACATATGCTAAATGGGACACATTCTTTTTTGAGAAACTACCACAATTCAGTCAGGAACATTTTGTCATGCCTTACCCATTTATTGCACAATGGGAATACAGTTATGATTGGCGCTGAAGGCTCCATTCTTTGGAAGTTCCCTGGATTAGTTAAGCAGAATGCTAAGATAAAACAGGGAACACGTGCAGAATCCCTTAAAAAATGGAAACCCAATGCCCAGCTAGAATAATGATATCTATATGTGGCAGCAAGCATGCTGTAGACCTCTAAATTATTGGCTAAAGAATACATATGTGCATTCTGTGAGAGGTCACTACAGTTGTGTGAAATATCTATGAGTAGCAGCAAGCATGCTGCAGACCTCTTAGTTTATAGACTAAAGAATGTGGGTATGCATTCTGCAAGGACATATTAATGTTATATGAAATAACAATGTGTAGCAGCAAGCATGCTGCAGACCTCTAAAACTATTGACTAGAATGTGGGCATGCATTCTGGAAGAGAATGTGCTACTGTTATGTGAAACAACTGTAGCGGCAAGCTTGCTATAGACCTCTAAGATTATTGACTAAAAAATGCAGCATGCATTCTGCGAGTGAACGTACTACTGCAAAGTGAAATCTTTATGTGCAGCATATATATATTATATATATATAAAATCTACAGAAAAATCTGCTTTGGGGAATGATATGCATGGCAAGATTAAAATGACCCAATAAAGACCGGAGTTCCAGTTTGGCAATGGACACTTTTCATGGCTTCTCTAATTCACACTAGCTTTTGTAGGGGAAGTGCTGCTTGCATAAGGTCGCTGTCTAATAAGATGCCCTTTTTTTTTTAAAGCCTTGAGTGTTCTCTTCTGAGAGTGGGATAGTTAACAGCAAAACACATTTGTCACATTAATTCATTTATTTGACTGGGACTGAGGATAATCGACTACCATGTAATAGTCAGGTAGGTGAATAACGAATGCAAGTTGCAATTATTATTGAGCAATATCCGACAAAGGGCTTCTGAAAGAATATTGGGCTGCTGTATGACAGTGTTATCAACAGTTGCATAGTATGAGGACAACTGCGACAGATGTATGGGCTATTAAAGCTGGAAGCACCATAGTCACGGGGGGGCTGACAGATCTATAATCAAATTTATTTTATTTATTTATTAATTCATTTTTAAAATGTATTATCAATTTATTTATTTTTACGGTTACCTTTGTACTTCTGAGTTGCTATGCCGATAGGATTTATGCAAAATATCGGAAATGGAGGATCATCAAATGGGCCCCTCGTGTAGCCCTTCCCATCCTCAGACTTAAATTGTCAATTTTTCCCCCAAAGCTTTTAAAGGAGATTACATGTGTGGGCTAGCTGAAGAGATGCTGAAGCAGCGGGTAGAAAGAACAAGTCTCTCAGTGAAGTTGTAGGAACTGCAGTTCTCCGAATTCTATGCGTTGTGATGTCAATTGGCAGTGTGCAGCCTGCCGTGCTCACGGCAAAAAAAGCAGGCGGCCCCAGACTCGGTGTTGAAGTTTGCTGAGAATTTTCTCGGTTTCTGCGGGCATGGAGTTGGGGGTCCATCTCACTGAGGGAGGACTGGTTGTTGATCAGCACTGCTGTTGGAGTCGAGCTCGCCAAGCAGGGATGCTAGCAGGAGCCACTAGCGCTAGCCTGAGCAGCTGGTGCAGCACCGGGCTTTAGTGGAGACTGCAGCAGTGTGCTCCTTCTTCAATGTGGGTTTGTTAGGAGCAGAAGAAGGAGTGACGGGGGAAAAGCAACCCGATCTTCTTCTTGAAAGTGTGTAACAGCAACTGGAAAGGTCCTTCGTGACTGGCCTCGAGAGGGATGGAGATATTGCAGCTATAGAGGCACTTACGTGACTTACTCACTGGCCAGTTTTTTAATAGATGGATGATTTTTGGCTGCCAGGCAAGAACTGTGGGGGATGCTGCAGCTCTCTTCTGCTTTTCCTTCCGACCCTTTCTCGTCATCCTGTGTTTGAAGATGCAGCTTTCTTCAATGAGGGATCCCTCTCCCGAGATGAGGCATGATGAGCGTGGAGAAGGTGAGTAGAGTGACGAGCCAAGTTATACTTTTAGCGAGTTAGCAAGTTGCCGGCAGCAGGACATGAGTGGCAGTGTAGTGGAGCAGGGATCGATGAGAATGAGGTTGTATTTAAAGGGACTACTTTAATGAGAGAATGGGCTGTGATTGGTGGGTGACTGATGAGCAACCATAAACCTGCTGTGGTACCGTTGGCCAGATGGCATCAGGCAGAATAGTTTATTGTTTGGGTGATCAAGGTCTATAATGATCCGGTTGCTCTTCTTCCTACACCGCTGAGTGTAGAGGTCCTCCATAGATGGCAGCTCTGTCCTGGTAATGCGCTGAGATATATACATATATAGATATATATGCGCACTGAGACTTTAGAACTTTTTTCTGGTCTCCACACAGCACTGCTCCACACTCTATGGGAGCTCAAATGACACAATGATCTGTAAAATCTTTTACTTTTTATAGCACATGCAGAGTCAAAAAATAAAGTATCAGACATATTTTAAAGCTTTAATGAAATCTGTACCTGCACATATAGCGAAGAAGTATAGAATAGGTGTGAGGAAAGTCTTATGATCATATTGTCAATCATGTTTGAAGCTTTCAACTTCACTAAATTGCATGAAAGGTGCTATATAAAAATAAAGATTGATTGATTGATTGAATGATTGACTGAAGTGGGTGAAACCTACTCACCTGGAGTGCATGGAGATAAACACTGAGATTCACCAGCCTTTGACAGATCTCCTGTTAAACACATAGACAGCGTACTTACTCCTGAACTGTCTGTCTGTCTCGCTCATACACATACACACACAACACACACTAGGGCATGGAAAGGGTCAAAGAGGACACCAATTTACTAATACAATTATAATGTCCAACTCGTGTGTGTACATATGTATGACTGTGCAATAATA